TAAGACACTTCTAAAAGACTCATGACAGAAAATGCTATTCACATCCGGAGAAAAAACTATGGAGTCTGAATGCAGATGGAAGCATACTATTTTCTTGCTTTTTTGTTTTTTCTTTCTCATGGTTTTTCCTTTTTGTTCTGATTCTTCTTTCACAATATCATTAATGTGGAAATATGTTCAATATGATTGTACATGTATAGGCTATATCAGATTATATTCTGTCTTGGAAAGGTGAAGGCAGAGGATTAGAACTCAAAATCTTATAAAAGTGAATGTTTAAAACTATTGATAAATAAATTTAAAAAAGAAAAAAATGAATGAGAAAGAAAAAAATCCTGAAAAGGGCTTAGAAAGAGGAACTCAAAAGGTATTAGTAAATTTTATGCATTTAAATTAACTAATTTACATGAAAAAGTTACTAAGCAAGTACAGTTTATATTGATATTTAATATTTTTTTAAATTTTTTTTTTTTAGGCAATTGGGGTTAAATGACTTGCCCAGGGTCACACAACTAGTAAGTGTCAAATGTTTGCTCTGAGGCCAGATTTTAACTCAGGTCCTCCTGACTTCAGGACCGGTGCTCTATCCACTGCTCCACCTAGCTGCCCCTAATGTTAAGTTTTTAATAAAATATTTAATTTCTTAAAAAAAAAACAACTAGGTTCTAGCCCCAAATCTTTCCATCCCGCCCCTCCTGCTTAAGAACCTCGGATGGATAACTTCCTTATTTAAAGATAGTAGCCCGGGCCAGAACCCATCCATGAACCAACTAAGTTATCTTTCCATAAATCAGTACCTTTCATATACTCTACCATCCAGCCAAATGGGCTTTCTTGCTGACTCTCACATTCAGACCTCCATCTCCTTTCTCTGACTCTTTTCTGCCGGCTCTTTTCCACACGCCTGGAATTCACTCACTCCTCACCTCTGCCTAGCAGAATCCTTAGCAGTTCTCACAGTTCCACCCAAATAGCACCTTCTGCATGAAACCCTTTCTAACACTCTTAGCTGGATAGTAAATAGCTTTGTCGTTGAGTCGTGTCCAATTCTTCATGACTTCATGCGGGGTTTTCTTGGCAAAAATACTTACGTGGTTTGTCATTTCTTCTCCACGGGATCAGGCAAAGATAAGTTACATGACTTATCCAAGGTCACACAACTAGTGAGCATCTGAGGCCAGATCTGAATTCAGGTCTTCCTGACACCCCCACCCAATTACCTTGTATTTATTCTGTATATACTATTTCCCTGAAAGAAGTTTCTCAAGAACAGGGACCATTTCTTTGAGTCTTCACTGCCTAGCACTAGGGCTTAATAAATCCTTGGTTTTGATGTTTTCATTGTTGTTTTTTGGGGGATTGGCCTTTCTTTGTATCCTCGGCATACAGCACAGTGCCTGGCACAAAGCAGGTACTTAATAAATGCTTGCTGACTTGTTGAAAGGTAGAACTTCTAGCCTTTAAGAGATCATCTCGGGACAGCTAGGTGGCACAGGAGACAGAGCAAAGCCCTGGAGTCAGGAGAACATGAACTCAAATATGGCCTCAAACACCTGACACTTAGTAGCTATGTGACCCTGGACAAGTCACTTAACCCCAACTGCTTCTAAGAGAAAGAAAAAGAAAAAGAGAGAACACAAGCAATCACCTGGTCTAGCCTAGGAATTCTTAACCTAGAATTCATAAACTTTAATATATTTAACAACTAATTTTACTTTATATTATGTTTATAATTATTTTTATTTCAACATAATTGGCTGCATTTCTAATACCATGGACTTCACTTTATGCGTTTAAAAACATTATTCTGAGAAAAGATCCACAGGCTTCAGCTGTCAAAAAGGTCCTTGGCACTGAAAAGGTTAAGAACTCTAGATCTGGGCCAACCTCCCTATCTTTCTAGGAGGCAGCTAGACCAAGCAGTTGAAAGAGCCCTGGGCCTGAAGTCAAGAAGACCAGACTCAAATCTAGTCCCTGACACTAGCCGTGTGACCAGACCCTGGACTAGTCACTTGACCTTTGCCTGCCTCAGTTTTCTCATCTGTAAAATGAGAATAATGATAGTATCTACCTCTCAGGGTTGTTGTGAGGATCAAATGAGATAATAATTGTAAAGCTTGAAGCACTATATAAATACTAGCTGTTATTAATAATAATATTTGGTAAGGAGCATGCAATGTTCTAACATTCTAAATTCTAAGAATTCCTTCCAGCTCCACCATCTCGAGTCCTGTGTTCTGCCACTGAATTTATCATATACTCAGAGTAAAAAAAAAAAATCTCACTCTCAACTTCCATTTGAAGCTCAGAGTTGAATAAGCCAGGTCACCCCAAAGGTCATCTAGTCTAGCCCCTGTCCAGGTAGGCTGAGAGTTATGGAATTATGGGAAAAAAGAACAACTACTGAACTTAGGAAAACTGTTTAAGAGCCTTAGCTCTTGTAGTCCCTTGCTGTGTGACCCTGGGGAAGTCACTCTAGTTCAGTCTGGTTTTCCTTATCTATGAAATGGGAATGGTAACCTTGGCTGATGCCTTCACAGTGCCTAATGAGGACTACAGCAGATGTGGTTATCAATAGAGACAAAGGAAACGTCATTTATTCTACAGACACTAACCCCAGCTCTGCCAAGTAGGAGGTACTCTGGTCTTTTGAGATGTTGCTGCAGGACCCTTACACACAAATTTAAATTGACTAAAAAATACACCCCCTAAAATCACAGGGCAAGCAAGCTCTTCAGCTGAAAGATGTTCAAGAAAGAGAAAGCTGGAAAACTATAGGGTGCCTCTAATTTGTCTCCCCAGTCCCTAGAGAAGATAGGGACAGAGAACCAAAGCTCCACCCACCCTCTCCTCCCTCCCTGAATCAGCCCCAGGAAAGTAAAGAAAAAACAATTAGCCATCTACCCAGAACCTGAGCGCCCCAGAGCCTCATTTTTCTATAGTCTCCCCGGAGGTTAACACAGAACCCTGCAAATTTAGAATTTAGAGCTGGAAGCCATCATCAGAGGTTGTTAACCTTATTAGGATCATGGACCACCCTCTCCCTGTAATCTGGCAGTCTAAGGAAGCCTCTGGACCCCTTCTCAGAAAAACACTAAAAACAATTAATAATGTTTTAAAAAATACTGTAATTCAGGTAAGGGTTAGTGAAAATGAAGACATAATTTATTTTTCCCTTCCAAGTTCACAGACTCTCTGAAATCTATCCATTAACCCTCAGAGGTCGGTGGAGCAAGCCAGATCTAGTCCAAGCCCCTCACTTTAATCAATGCCTATTGTGTGCTGGGCACTGTTGCTAAGTGCTGAGGATACAAAAATAGGCCCTGCCCTCAGAGTTCACAGTCACTAGATTAGAGGGAAGACAACATGCAAACAAATACATACAAGGCAAATTATGTGCAGGAGAAATACGAAACAGAGGAAGCACTAAAAACAGGAGGGGTTGGGAAAGGCTTCTGGTAGAAGGTGGGATTTTTGTTTTTGTGACTTAAAAAGAAAGCCAGGGAAGTCAGTAATAAGAGCAGAGGAAGGAGGGCATTTCAGGTACGGGATTTACAGTCAAGGAACTGAAGCGCAAGTGAGATGCCTTAAGTAGCCTTGACTTTCACATCCTGGGTTCTTTCCCTCGGCCCTTCCACGCCCATCTCAGAAGCAAGAGGGCAGAACTGCATCTTCTCAAGCCCTGCTCCTGTTTCCAAAATACCCCATGCCCTTAAGGACACAAAATGGGGAAGGAAGTCAGACTGGAATCACAAAGCGAGAGCAGGCATCAATCGTACGCAGCTTCTGCTCCTAAATGGACGGGCTCGGGCACCTTTTTTCCAGGGAGAGGTCAATGTCTGTGTTCCTATCTAGCCTGCCCTCTTCTTCAGAGAGGCTGAATCCTAGCCGAACTAAAGCAAGCCAGCGGCATGCTACTTGCAGAAGAAATATCCGAGCTTGCAGCTGTTTCCACCACTTGTAAGCAGGAGGGGTTGGCCGGACTGAGGGTGAGAAAGGGAGGTCGGCCAGGGGTGGCAGATGGGGGGAGGAGGTAGTTTAGGCTCACTCTCCCAAACTCTGCTCACCACCCACCCCCTGTCATTAAAAGTCCAAGATGAATCAGATAACAGACCAGCTCTCCCACTCCAACAACACACCACTGCCCCAAGGGCCGCAAGACACACCCACCCTCTTCCCTCGGCAGGCGCTATCTCTCTACTCTCTCCACCTCCCAGTCCCAGGCCATAGATTGTAAACCACGGTGGACCCCTTTTGTTAAGCACTCATTCGCATTCCCTTTTTTCACAACTGGGCATCACGCACATATGCACGTAAGCTAGCACACCCACGCCCACATATCCCCCCCTTCCCTTGTCTCAGAGGAGGCGCAAAAGTGGGTCCCTTAGCTGAAGGGCCCTACTCCGGGCTTCTTGTCTACACTGGCCAGCCTCCCTTTTCTTGCCCAAACCAGGGAAGCGACCACGTCGCGCACGAACCCCCCAGGCAGAGGCGCCAGCTGTGAAATTGGGCACGAAACCAAGACGAAGTGTGCCAGGTGTTCACAACCTATCTATCCCTTCCCACATGTGTACATAATACATACACACACTCATACACCCATGGTTCTCAGACATCCATGGGAAGGGACACCAGCTCCCACCTTCCGCTCTTGGGGGTCACATTAGAGGGGCTGAGTGGAGCACGCCCTTCCTTTTTTAAGCCCTCTTCTCTCACTTCCACGCGGTGGCGGAACCAAACCCGAGACCCAGCGCTCCCCTCCCCATCAAACCCCGACCTCTGCACCCCTTACTCCCTTAATCATAGCACCCCCAAGTTCTGCAGCTAGCGCTGCGCACCCCGCCCACCCCGAGGAGACTACTGCGCCCGGGGCGGACCGCGGGATCCCAGGGTTCCAAGGTGCGGGTCTCCGTCCAGCCTCACAGAGCAAAGACCAACGACCCCGGAGCTCCCCATCTTGTTCCACGTGGTGAAGCTGGGGGGCGAGAGGCTTGCCTTACCTGGGGAGAGAGGCTTGGGAGATGAGGAACGCGGGTCCAGGCGAAGCCACTCAGCCGCGCCCTAGTCTCGTGTCCAGCTAGGGAACTCAGAGCCCGAACGCGTGGGTGAGCGGAGTAAGCGTACGCGCAGACTGCAAGGTTTGTTTATGTCCGGCGCTCGCAGGCGAAGGACGCTTTATAGCCGCTGCGGCTCCGCCCTCCTCTCCCCGGCAGTCCCCGCAGCTGCTGTTTCTGCACGCAGCAGCCTCGATCGCCCTCCCTCCTTCCTCCCGCTCTTCCTTCTCCGCCTCCTTCCTCTAGCCGTGGCCGCCTGTTGCGCAATGCTTTGTAAACGAGGAGCGTCTTGGCTAGGGCGTACTCGTCCTCGGGGCTCCAGGCTCGCCACACCACTCCCTCCCCCCGCCCCCCAAGATCTTTGTGTTTGGTGGAAGCGCAGGGGTGGCTTGCGTGGTGTGCGTGTGCATAAGTGTGTGTGTGTGTGTGTGTGTGTGTTTGTGCGCGCGCTTGCTGTGGTTAATTTCCTTTCCACCATATGGGAGCTAGGAACGTGCACGCCTCCACACCCCTTCTCGGTTGCTTGGTGGCTTATTAACGCCAGCTTCAGCTAGCCTCATTTCCCCATTCTCTCGCCCTGCCTTCTCCATTTTCTTTCCCGTTCGCTCTTCCTCCAACTTTCTTCACACTCGATTTGTCTCTCTCCTTCCAGTTGTCTCCCTTTCTCTAACTGTGACCCTCTAACTTTCTCCTCAACCCAATAATTTCCTTTCCTTCTTCAGCCATCTAGTCCAAACAATTAATTATGCAAGAATCCTCTCTACTGGGAAGGAGGGAAAGAAGCATTTAATTAAGTGCCAGGCACGTAGTAAGACCAATTGTTCTCTGGTCACTTCTTTAAAATCTCCTCTAAGTGGATAATTCCTATTATCTTTCAAGGGAATGCATTCCGCTTTTGGACATTAAACACTTTTTTGTATGTGTCTTGCTTTTTCGTAGTTGTTTGTATCACGTTGTCTTCCCCCATTAGATCGTGTTTCTTGAGAGCAGGGACTTTGCTTTTCCTTGTATCCCAGGCTTAGCACTGTCTCACACATAGTAGATGCTGTCAGCAGGCAATCACAACTTCATAAATACTTTTTGGACTTGACTTCTGATCGATAGGTAATTTTGCCTTATGATAGTTAACAAATCTTGTCTAACCTACCTCTAAAAAATCTTAGACATCTCTTAACTTCTCTGAACTCAGTCACTCTAGAATACAGGCTCTCATCTTGTGCCTTGGGGCTAAGCAGAAACCTCCTAATTGGATTTCCCATTTCCTGTGTCTCACCTCCAATCCATACTCCACCAAGGTGGATGAATATTCCTAAAACACAAATCCTATCCCGTCACCCACCCTCCGCTTACTTTCAAAACCATTCCAAGGTTTCTCAGTGCTTCTAAGATAAAATACAAGCTCTCCATCCTTTCACAATCCGACTCTCACCCGGACTCAACCACTGTGGTCTGAGCTTCCTCATCTGCAAAATGTGGGAGTTGGACCCCGGGACCTCTGAGGTCTCTTCTAGCTCCCAATCTGTGAAAGTAGATCTACCTTTTCAGGCTTACTGTGAATTACCTTCTTACTTATACTCTGCTCCAGTCAACCGAGCTGCTGGCTGTTTCCCAGACGGGAAATTTTACCTCCTTTCTCCCTGTTTTTGTCCACAGGATGCCTTCCCTCCTCACTTCTACCTCTTAGTATCACTGGCTTCCTTCAAGTACACCTTGGGTGGCACCTCAGACCTTTGTGAGGCTTTTCCTGAGTTGCTCCCCACTTCAAGGTCCCCAATTATTAATTGTTTAACCTCTCCAGTGTCTGTATATATGAACTATATTTATTTGTGTATATCCTTTATCTTACCATAGAAATGTAAGCTTTGTTGTGGCAGACTTCATTTTTTTTAATCTTTATATCTCCATAACCTGGCACACGGTGGATCTTAATGAATGCTTGTTGATTTGTAGTTTCAAGTCCTTTCAACATTGTCTCTCAAGCTATAAGAGGCCTTAGAGATAATGTAGTCCAAAGTCATTCCATAGATGGGGAAAATAAAGCCAAGAGAAGCAGGATTAATATTGAAACCCAGATCCAAATCAGGTTGCATTCTTCTAGGGACGGTCTACCCTAAAACGTGGCATTCAGAAATGAATACAGTGCTCCAGATGTTTCCTCCCCGTAAGTCTCAGATATGCCCATCCAGTGATCTACCTATCTCCTTTCTCCACACTCTCACCTCGGCTAGCTCTTCCTTTCACTTATTTTGCCTGTCCTTTCTCCCATTCTCTTTCTCCATCTATCTAGAAGGGATAAATCATCTGGTCCTTCAGCACCTACAGTTCTTACTATCTCCATCACTCTTTTAAGCCTTTAGGCATGAACTGCTTCAGGAAAGTTAGTGTTCTCTGGCAAACTAGGCTCAGAAGGGTACGTGTGAGTGATAGACTTAACAAGTTGTTGTTTGTTTGTCCCGTGTTCTAGAAAAGGATCATGACTTCAGGGAGGTGATGCCACATGTGCAAGTGAGGGAGGGCTGTGCAAAGTCACCAGCCTCACTTTCTCCTGCAGAGCCATCTGGGTCTTTGGATGAATGAATTTCCAGTTGGGTACAATTTCTCTTTTATCTATGTATCACAGAACATCAGTGATGAAAAAGGGCCCTTTGGGATTATCCTCTAGTTCCGCCTTCTAATTACACCAATGAAGAAGGCCCTCGGTGAAGTTGTCCTTGTTCCAACCATCCAATAGCAATCAGGCCCTCCTTTCTCAAGACTCAATATTTTATCTCCTCTACACTTCCCTGTGCTATTTTGTGTTCCAATAACTTTGTATTCCAATAACACTTGTCTGGGTTTTGTTTTTTCTTCTTTTGAATCCAACTCATCACTACTTGATTTGCCAATGAGGAAACTCCCCCTTGCCAATGTAGAGCAACAACCAATAACTTGAACCCCAGTCTTCCTGATTCCTGAGGCTCGCTTTCTAGCCAGTATGCTATGCTACCTCCATCTTTTGTGTACACTATCATAGCGTACAATTCAGTCAGATAAACATTTGTTGAGTATTTGCTATTTACCAGGCACTGTGCTAAGCACTGGGGATTCAAATAAGAAAAAGAAAGACAGTCCTTGGCCTTGGAGAGTTTATAATCTTATCGCAGTGTAAATTCTGACAGCAGGGACCTTGTCTTACTCATCTTTTAATCTTTGATAGTACATGGTACAGCAACATATATGTGCATGTGTGTATATATGTATACATGTATGTAAATATACACATGCATATATATACATACGAACCTATATACATATGTGTATATGTAATGTGTGTATTGTGTATACATGCATCACACATATACATACAGACATGCATTTTCATATATAAATACATGTGCATACATAAATGTGATTATAGATATATGCATTTTCATATTTTCATCTTTATTATTTTTATCTTTGTGTGATTGCATCTACTAATTTAGAGCAAAGATCATCCATGTCTTAAAAGATGGTTTTGTGATTTGCCACAACCAAAAATTGTTTTCTTCTGTTAGCCACCCTTTTGGTGATGACCCTCCCTGTGTTTGGTCCAGCTGGTCTACAGATGACAAATGGTGTATTGCCCTACCCATAACTGAAGCCTTTCCCAATGAGCAGGACCTGATGGAACTTCAGAGCTCTAGGCCTAGAGTCAGGAAGACCTGAGTTCAAATCCAGCCTCAGACACTATCCCGGTAACCCTGAGCAAAGCACTTACCACTGTTTGCCTCAGTCTCTCATCTATAAAATGAGCTGGAGAAGGAAATGGCAGGCCACTCTCTGCCAAGAAAACCCCAAATGGGGTCATGAAGAGTGGGACACAACTGAAACAAGTGAACAATGGTGGAACTTCTGTTCTTCAGACAGAGCTTTTGCAAATTTCCCTACTGTCATGAGGCATAAGTAGAAAAAGGACAAACAATTGGCATTCAAATAACAATTAATTGCTATTGAACTGGCCTACCAGAGCTGTTCCTCAGCCTCAACATTCCATCTCCAGCCTTGGGGCATTCACACAGGACATTTCCCAGGCCTGAAATATAGTCCCTCCTCATCTCCATCTTTCAGAATGCATCTTTTCCTCTAGGTCTCAGCTCAGATTCTCCAAAGGACTTTACCCCAGTCTCCTCCTCCCCACTCCATTCCCCAGCTGTTTATAGTCCCACCCTTCTAAAGCACTTTGATCCCTCCCTAGGCCTCTAGACCTAGCTTTATTCTTATCCAGTAGCCTCCTAAGTGGTCTCTCTGCCTTCAGTTTCTCTGCTTCAAATCATCCTCCACATAGCAAAGCGATATCTTTAGGATAAAAAAAAAAAGCATAGCTTTTGCCCTGTCATTCCCTTCCTCAGTGGGTCCCTAGGATAGAATATAAACATCTCTGTTTGATGTGTAAAACCCTTCTTCATGATCAGGCTCCACCCTATATTTTCAGGTTTATTACCCATTCCTCCCCTTTATCTACTCTATATTCCAACCAAACTGATGTCCTTGCTATTCCTAACATATAATATAACATTTCCCATCACCGTGTCTTTGCCCAGTCTATCCCCCTTGTCTGTATAAGGAAGGGGTTTTCTAAATCTACCTCCATTAACATAATCACATAACAGTAATAATAATAATAATAATTTTTATTATCGTAGCTACCATTTATATAGCACCGACTATATATATATATATATATATATATATATATATATATATATATATATATATATATATATATATATATATATATATTTTTTTTTTGCTTTTTAGGCAATTGGGGTTAAGTGACTTGCCCAAGGTCACACAGCTAGTAAGTATCAAGTGTTTGGTCTGAGACCGGATTTGAACTCAGGTCCTCCTGACTGCAGGGCTGGTGCTCTATCCACTGCGCCACCTAGCTACCCTAGCACCGACTATATGCCAGCCTGTGCTAAACATTTTGCAGATATTATTTCACTCCATCCTCACAACAACTCTGGGAGTTAGGTGCTATTATGATTCCAATTTTACAGTAGTGGAAACTGAAGCACACAGCTAGAAAAGGTCTGAGGCCATATTAGAGCTAAGGCCTTCTTGACTCCAGGCCCATTGCTCTATCTACTGAACTACTCAGCAGTCTCCAAAAGGCTCTGCCAGCTAGACCGAATCAA